CAAATCAATTAAATTTTTCTTAAATTCTATCCAATCCAGTGGCTCTAAAAATTTATTTCTTCCTGCCAGTAACTTTCTTTTAATGAGAGGAAGTTCTCTAATTTTTCTTAGATTAAAATTTAACCTATAACTCCCTCTATTCAAATTTCTCCCAAATCAGCCTCATACCCATATAATTCAGCATTAAATATTTTTATTTGCACTTTTAGAGGTTAGAAATGATTTTACAATTTGTAATAAACTCTATAATTTCTCCTAATTTTTGCTGGATTTTTTGAGGCCTCTATATATTTAAAATAATTGATTTTTCTAATTTTCCCTATTTAGCCAAAACCACCAATAATTAGAAATAAATCTTTGATGAATTATTTTCAACCTGTTTTTACCTTTTAGGCCTCAAATACTCTTCTAGACCATTTATTCCATTTTTCATGATTTTTTTGAAAATTTTCAAGAATTTCGAGCATAATTTCCACTACTGCCTTTTCGTGACCAACTATTTCAAAAATGACTGTCCAGTCCCTACCCAGGTTTCACTTTAAAAGCTGTGCCTTCTATGTTTCTACTATAATGCCTGGTCTTCAGTTAGTTCTAAATTCCTTATTAACTAGGTTAAAATTAACAGGATGGGACAAAAAGTGGTAGCTCAGTTAGTTATTTGCATCATTGAATGCTTCCTCTATTTATAATTAATATCCAAATCTATCCATTAGACTCAATGGCTTTGTTTCTTTAGAGTAAAAGGTAGCGTAGAGGTTGTACCTTGCAATAGTTGAGTGCTTTTATTGACAAAAAGTTAATCAGCCTTAATCCTACGATTAACAAGCTTCATAACAAGTTATTAGTTGTTTAAAACATATTTTTAAGTGCTAGGAAGCTTTATATTGAGAAATCCAAACTATAATATGAGTAATCAAATCAAGATAAGAATCTGATAAAGAAAGTTATTGATATGACTCGTATACATACTCAAATGTGTTTCTAGAAATCTTAAGACCTCATTCAAATGAGTCTTCAAATAAGAGTGAAAAAAAGAGAGACTCGAGTATGACATTGAACGTTGAAACTTTTAAAAAGGATTAAGCACTTATAACTTGAAAACTTTATTTTAAGATATTTTAGTTATAAAAAAAATCAAAGCAATTTGACTCGAATAAGACTTTGAATAATGTTCAGAACAAGGTTTTGAATGAATGACTCAAAGTCATGTTCGAATAATCTCATGAAACTTTTGAGACAACTTGTTTAGTTTTAGTTAGAAACAATTTTGTTGCTTGACTTTTGAAGTTGTAACTTGAGTACAATAAGACTTTATTCGAATAAGTATTTGAATAAACAAATGAAAGATAGGATTTGAATAATTCTAAGAATTATTATTTGAACAAGTCTTCGAATAAATCTTTACTCAATGCTTTATTCGAATAAATTAGAGGAAAAAGTTTGAACACTTAAAAATACTCAGTATTTCAAAAGTTATTTGGAGTCATGTTCCGAATAAAATGCTTAGTGACTCGAATATATGTCCGGATAAAATGTTTTTAAAGGAAACTTTTTGAAATTACCCGGATACATCATCGAATAAGCTTGCTTTTGATTTGAACGTAGAGCTTAAGTTCCTGAAAAAATCTTACTTGAAAAAATCAAGAGGATTGACTCGAATAACTTAGATTTTGAAAACACTTAGTTGGTTACTCGAATAAATTAGATTTTGAAAACACTTAGTTGGTTACTCGAATAAATATTCAAATAACTTCATGTTTTGACTGTAAAAACATCTATTCAAATACTTCTCCGAATAAACTTGTAAATACTCTTAACAGAATAATTATGAAACATTACACACTTTTAATTTTTATAAATATTTTTGTCATCATTAAAACATTATTATCAATAGGTTATATACTATTCTAGCATGATTTGCACATGAATGTCTTATTAAAACTTTTGCATTGATGATGGGCCTCTAATAATCAATTTATCTCTTTTCTATTATAGACAAGTTCTGACAATTTAGTTTAATCATGATAAGTGCGCTACAAGTTAAGGTTTTTTTTTTTTTTCCGCCACGGTCAATGCTATATTTGAACAAGTTTATTCTTTTAATCATGATAATCACTACTACAAAAAAGTCCATTTTCATTCCCTATTTTTGTCTGAAATTGAAAATAGAGGAAAAAAAAAGGTGATATATTCGTGTGTTATGCCAAACAGAGGAGTATAAGGCCCCATACTTGTCTGTTGGGCCATATTACCCAATAAATTCGTCTGGTCCACTAGACGAGATGAGTATACAACCTAGATACTCCTCTGGTCAGGTGACCAGACGAGTATACAGCCAGTATAGACGAATATATGGCCCAAATATTTGTTTAGTCCATTAAGGCTTATACTCATCTGGTCACTTGACCAGATAAGTATCTGGGCTGTATACTTGTCTGGCCCAGTGGATTAGATGAATATGGGCCTTGTTTTAGGGCCTTTTATCGCCTCCCCCTTGCCAAAAAACAAAATTCGCTCTCCCTCCTTTAGCTCCTCCCTTATTTTTGCATTCCACAGCACCTTCAGCTCAAGCTCAAGCTCTCCTAACCTTAAGCTCCACCCTACCTGAAGCTCCCCCAACCTTCAGCCCCCCCAACATTTCACAAACCCCCTCGCGGTGCCTCAAGCCCCCAACCTTCAGCTACCCCCCATTTTGCACACGCCCCCCCGGATGTTCCCCTAACATTCCCCCCACCTTCCCCTTCACAGCTCCCCCAACCTTCAACTCCCCCCTATTTTGCAACACCCCCCCGATGCTCCCTCCCCAAGCTAACCCCAACGTTTAGCTCCTCCCCTACCCCAATCACTTCCCCTCCCCGCACACAAACATTTTCCAACTTCCGTGGCCTTTAACTTCTATTTACATTTCTTTTGTTCACATCTCCCTTTAAACAAACGAAAAAGGGCCTTTAGAACAGATGGAAATGACTTTTTTTTTAGTAGTGAATTTTTTTGGCTAAAGCATATGTATCCTTTATTGAAGGCAATCCTAATAATTAAATAAAAATAATATTATATATAAATAATACATGTCTAAAAAATAAATTGCTACATAAATTTCTAACAATAAACCCAAACAAATAAAATAAACTTAGGATATTGACAAGCATAATTAATTGAAAAGAAAAATTGGTCTATCCTTTAGCCCTCTTTCATCCTTTTTGTATTGTGGTCCAAGTAAAAATAATAATTAAATATATATTTGTAATTACTATTTGCATTGAATGGTGAAAAAACTTGGCAGTTCTCACATGTTACTAGAAATCAGTAATCTGCTTCTCTCTCCACGGGCATCAGAAACCTGCCTTGAGCCTTATCTCCCCCTCCCTTGCAACTTCGTTTTTCTTTCCACGGTATGCTGGACTCAGCAAAGACTGCAACCATTTTTTTCAACAGGGTCGTAACATTTAGAACACAATGGAAGAAGAGAAACATGTGATCAACAGGCTTTATTCTCTTATTTGTTTTTGTTCTTCATTTTCCTTCTTTGTTTTCTTTATTATCTCTGACCATTCCTTCTTTCTTCTTTTGCACCGTTATTTTTGCTGCTGCGATCCCACTGCGGGCTCATGAAGGAGGACAGATTTGATGTCAATGGTAAGGGTTGCAGATGAAATAAAAGATGGAACAATGGAGGGCATGAATCAAAATGGGAGTGTGCCAGATAGAAGAAATTTCTTTGAGGTTCATCAGGCCGTTCGGTTTTCATAAAACCATTTTGGGTTTCGACTTTAATCCGGCTTCCAACTCAAGACGGTTCAAAACGGTCTAAACGTTCAAACAGTTTAAATGTTCAAAATGAGCCGCTGATATCTCCGGTCGACGACCAAACTGATCCAACTAGTTCGGCTCTTTAAACACTGCTTTTAACACAATTTTTGATAATGATATTTTGGGACTCTATGCAACTAATGATTATTTGGGAGAAAAAAGTCAGACTTGCGAAAGGATAAGTTCAATCCGTTGGATGGCATCACGTCATGCGCGAGCATGAAACACGCACATGGCACCAGGTTTCGCGTGGTGACGTGTCAACTACTAAAAGGATCAATCATCCATCAATTTTATAAAATTAAAGAGAAAAAGTAAAATAATTCTTTAAAATCACCGCGACCAGGTTCAAGGCAAACACTACTAGCTCAAAGCAGGGCGACACGGCAAACAGATTGGATTGGGTTGGATTGTACCTAGGCAATTCAGGACTCTAATTTTTTATTTTTTTTAAAATTTTTTCATTTTGAAGAGTATGATTTCAATATGATAAATTCAATTAAAATAATAAAAAATGCCTATAATCATATAAAACTCATTCTAAAATATTAAAAATTAATCATAAATATATAAGAATTTCTAAAAACTTTAAAAACAATTATAAGTAACATCTAAATTAAAAATTATTAAAAATAAAAAAATTCATGTGGACATTTTTGAAGAATAAGTATAATTTCATTTATAAGATGCACTTAAGACATATATAAAATTTTAACCAATTTTTTATTATTTTTATTCCTATTAATTATATTTTATATCACCGTATAAATTATTTTTCATATATATATATATTTACTCATCCTTCCTCTCATTCACTATTTCTCCCCGCATAAACAAAAATATTATAAAGAATAAAATATATTTTTTACACATATTATAGTTAATTAATTTTTATTTAGGTATTCAGTTATTTATATTTTATTCATAAGACTTGAAAGAGTATGTTGAAAATATTAACGTGGTGATGCCTAAATTTATTTTAATATAAAAGAACCGGCTGAACAATTTAGCCGGGGGGGGGGGAGCTTGAACAAAAGGGTCAAGGTATTTTTTATTTTGAAAGAAACGAGACGAACCCAGATATTTTGCCGATATGGGCTCCACCTTTCTCCTAATAGTAAAGCTGTCCATTTTCCCGGATTTCATATTTTCAATTATTCGCATTCTGACTGTTCGAAAAGCAAAGTTGAAAAAGTAAATAAATCTCTCTCTCTCTCTCTCTAACTGACTTCGTCTGCAATGAGCAAAACAAAATATGATCCAAAGCCAGCCAAAGAGTTGTTCTTTCTTCTAGGGTTCGAGTAATGCTCGTTACGAAGAAGGAAAAGGAAAGCAAGTAAGTATAGTACATTAAAGTGAGGCCATTAGAGATCATCGAAGATGGTGAGCCCAAAATCGCAAAGCCCCGAGAGCGTTCCTTGCGATTTCTGTACGCAACAAACAGCTGTTCTGTATTGCAGAGCTGACTCTGCCAAGCTCTGTTTGTTCTGCGATCAACACGTTCACTCCGCTAACTTGCTCTCTCGCAAGCACTTGCGCTCTCAGATCTGCGATAATTGCTCCTCCGAGCCTGTCTCCGTCCGGTGTAACACCGACAACCTTGTTCTCTGCCAAGACTGCGATTGGGACGCTCATGCCTCATGCTCCGTCGCCGCTTCTCACCATCGTACGCCTGTTGAGGGTTTCACGGGGTGTCCTTCTTCATCTGAACTCGCTTCGCTTTGGGGATTTCAATTTGAGAATAAGACTTTAGAACAATCTCCTTCTTCTTTGATTCAAAACTGGGGTGATTATCGGGATTTATTTGTGCCACTTGAGTCCTGCCCTTTTAAATCCGATGGCGTTCCTCTTGAAGTTCATGACGTCATGGTTCCAAGAGAAACCAGTATGCTTTACCCGTCTCGGGGTTTCCAGGCGGTCTGTAACGCTACAAAGAAACAGACTCCCTGCTGTGGGAAGCAGAAACAGGTTATACGCAAGCAGTTGGTTGAATTGCTCAAGAGGGATTCGGTGGTTGTTGATGTTGGTGGCGGTGGCGGTGGCGGTGGCGATGGCGGTGATGTTGACGGTGAAGGTGGAATAGCTCGGGTAAGTGCTGCTAATGAGGCTGAGAATTTGGTTCCCGAAGCGCCAAGAAAGATCCAGGGAGATGGGCAGCCATTTGTTTTGGGAAATGATGTTCAAGGATTGCAGGCGATTAACGCTTCTCAGCAACCAATGCAGCACCAAGCGTCAGTTAATTCCCCATCTATGATGCCTTCGCAGTTGCATCATATTGAAGGCGATAAATTGTGGCACAATAATTGCAAGAGGCACTCTGTTCAGGTCAAATTTTGGGTTACTTTGGTGGCTAAGTGGTTCATGATCCGTATGATTTCCTTTTACTATTTACTTTACTCCTCCACACATTTTAGGTACTTAAAATGTATATATAGTGGAATGTGTAGTGCAAAAGGGTATTTCGTGGAGTTGCTGGGCTTGGGCAACTCTTGTTACTTTACTCCTCTTGAAGAATTGCGTTTTTACTTTCTTTTTTCTTGACCGTGTTTTTGTTGCTATCTTTACTGAAAGTAGATTCTGCTTCCGACCTAGGCACTTCAGTTCACATCATGGGCTCATTTAAAGCATCTAACATGTATACATTGAAGATGTAACTAGCATCAAAGATTTTTCTTGCTGTCGTCACTAATGAGAGTGATGATTCAGTCACCTTGCCTTCCCATGACTGCCGCCAAGGATATTCATTAATTATCTGTTCCCTTAATTTACTCTTTTGTCAAACTACTTATTTGTTGATTACTGTTATGCAGTACGCGAGTCAAAATTTGTTATGGGGCGAAAAGGTCTAGCTGAGTTTCTGCCTTTTTGCAGATTTGGGATTTCCATTCTGGACGACTGAGGGATCAGGAAGAATCAATTGCACTTGAAGCTGCCTATGTAGCAAATGATGGCGGATTTGCAGCTAAGAATTTTAGTGAACTTATCAGAGAATCATCCATGACTGACACAAAATTGTTGCAAGAGATATACGATATGAATATTGCATACGATGATATGGCATCATATAACGTAAACCCTCTCACTGCTTGCCCTCACTTTCCCCTTCCGTTCTTACCCATTATCATTCTAGCGTATGATGGACTTACAGTTGTTGCTCATTTTTTAACCAATGTAATTCTATGTCTTGCGAGGTGGACATGACATGGAGCTATTTCTAGTGTCCTTGTGCCATTTTGGATGTTACGATTTAGGCTATCTCTAGTAAGGTGGAACCTTGGACGTCCATGTTAAAGAACATCACTTATATCAATAGCCTTACTGAAGAAACATAAACAATAGCCCCACCCCCACCCCCACCCCCAATTATTAGTTGTTTACTTCGAAGTGGGGAAGTTTTTAATGCACAGCATGCCAATACATGAGTGATTTTGTTGCTGTTGCAAGCGAAATATATTTCATGGCAACGCTTGAGTGTTTGATTGAGAAATGCAATATTATCTATGTCAAAAGCACAATGATGCCAATGGCCATATGCCTTAGTGGCTTGAAGCTCACCTTTGCTGGTGAGACGTCCCACTAGTTGCTTCAAGCTTCAACTTAACCCTATACAATCAAAAAATAGCCCACTGTTCGACGCTAGAAATGGCATCCAATGTTATTCCTCAATATCAATAGCTATGATGATGTTTTCCCCTTTTTTGTTTGTGTATTGAGTAATGGGCATTTACATTTGAATATTTAGCTGACCAAGTCATTATCGAAGATGGATTTATGAAGATGATTTTCTTAGTATTCTTTGTCAGTCTTAATGAGATGAGTTCTGCCCCAATCTTAATGAAATTAGTTTGTTTGCAAGATTAATTCTGCCTATGCCCCTGGTAGGTGGTGTGGAGATATGCCAAAACAAAAACAAAAAAACAAAAAAATTATGCTTTTTACTGTTGCAGGGTTAATTTTGTAGGGGATGACGTGTAATCTAATGAAAATGCAGAACCTGTCAAATAACCCAACAGCAGCAAGTCAGGGGCCTGCAGCAACATCAGAGAGCAACAACCTACCAACAAGGAAGCAATCTGGCAATGCCGCTGCTCCTGGAAAGCACAACGTTAACTGTAACGTCAAGGAGACACAGATTGGGGAACATCCTTTGCTTGTTACAGATGACAACATGGGAAAAGCCGGACGAAGCAAGGCTGACATGGACTTGATGGCCCAAAACAGGGGCACTGCAATGCTCCGTTACAAGGAGAAAAAGAAAACTCGAAGGTGGGTGAGCGGTAATCAGTCTTCGTCATCGGGAAAAAGTAATGGAGTTGTTGTTTAATTAATCTGTTTCTTTTTCACTTGAATATTGGAGTTTATTTTTGTAGATACGAGAAGCACATAAGATACGAGTCTAGGAAGATGAGGGCTGATACTCGGAAACGAGTCAAAGGCCGATTTGTGAAAGCTAGTGACGCGGACGTACCTCCTAATGGTTATTAACATTTTATGTGGCCTTCTCTGCTTTTTGTAAATTAGTGTTTTACATTATAAATGTATATTTGGTGCTTTGTTTTGGTAGTTTGTTATTAGAGACGTAAACATGAATAGAGAGAAATTACTTTATCTCCGTATTGTCAAATTATGAATTCCCCACTGCTGTCGCTAAATTGAATTGGGAGCTAGGTTCTAAATGGACGTTGTTTTGGGAGTGGGATCAGGTAAGTTTCTGTGTGAAGTTGCATTTGTTGCCCCGATCGAAGATTTGACCAAATTTGTGTAATGGTCATTTTGCGCTGTCATGGCTGGAGATACCATTATTTTTAAAAATATGTTCAGATCGTCAGTCTATGATTTAATAGTTCAATGGTTCATTCATGTCAATGGTTGAAACAAGATTGAATTGGGAGTAATAAATTTAATTAATTAATTAATTTTATATATTCAAATATGAGTAATTTCACGATGGCAGGTATAACTGAAAATAACCAACTAATAATTCATTATAATGATATTCATTTTTTTATATGGACAATTTGAAACCTTATTTTTTGTGCAGTCATGACAAAAGATACCATTATTTTTAAAAATATGCCAGTCAAAGCATCGATCATAGATCTAATAGTTCAGTGGTTCATTGATGTCATTATAGTTGAAACAAGATTGAATTGGGAGTAATAAATTTAATTAGTTAATGAATTTTATATATTTGAATATTGTATGAAATATTTAAATAAATTATTACAGAGTAATTTCACAATGGCACATATAATTGAAAATAACCAACTAATAATTCATTGTCATAATGGTCATTTTTCATATGGACAATTTAAAATCCCATTTTTGCGCAGTCATGGCCGAAGATACTATTATTTTTAAAAATATGCTGGTCAAAGCACCGGTCCAAAGATTTAATAGTTCAATGGTTCATTGATGTCATTATAGTTGAAACAAAATTGAATTGGAAGTAATAAATTTAATTAATTAATTAATTTTATATATTCAAATATTGTATCAAATATTTCAATAAACTATTACCGAGTAATTTCACAATGGCACATATAGTTGAAAATAACAAACTAATAATTCATTATCATAATATTCATTTTTTATATGGACGATTTAAAACCCCATTTTTGCGTAGTCATGACGAAAGATACCATTATTTTTAAACATATGATGGTCAAGGCACCGGTCTACGATTTAAGATTTAATAGTTCAATGGTTTATTGATGTCATTATGGTTGAACCAAGATTGAATTGGGAGTAATAAATTTAATTAATCAATTTAGTTTATATATTTGAATATTGTATGAAATATTTAAATAAATTATTACAGAATAATTTCACAATGGCACATATAATTGAAAACAACTAACTAATAATTCATTATCATAATATTTATTTTTTATACGGACAATTTAAAACCCCATTTTTTTGCTTCTGGTGGAAGATACCATTATTTTTAGAAATATGCTGGTCAAGGCACCGGTCAAGGATTTAATAGGTCAATGGTAAAGTGATGTCATTATGGCCGACACAAGATTGAATTGGGAGTAATAAATTTAATTAATTAATTCATTTTATATAGGAAAAGTAACAAAAAAAAAGAAGCTAGAAATTATTAGGTTTGATAACAACACTTTATTTAGTATTAACAATACTAAATTTACAAATGATAACAAATTTTTGTTGACATTTTTTATTTGGGATTTAGTAATTTTTAACTTTTTTTTTTATCATCTCCTTTTATATATTCGAATATTGCATCAAATATTTAAATAAATTATTACCGAGTAATTTCACAACGGCACATATAATTGAAAATAACCAACTAATAATTTATTATCATAATATTCATTTTTTATACGGATAATTTAAAGCCCTATTTTCTATAGTGGAGGGAATTCACGCGCACACACCCATCACACAATATGGGGTACAGAACTTCTGACCTCCTCAGTAAGAAGAAAGTATGGGGTGCTAATTAAGCTACAAACCCTTTAAACACTCGTTAAATGTAGCTAAATATTGATAGCTACATGCAAATATAATACTTATGCATTATTAGGTAAAAGTAATCTATCTTGACTTGCCCAAACGAAACCTTTTGTTATTTTTACTTGTCTTCTTTTAGTCTTGATTTAGTTGACTAAATCTGCAGGCTTTTAGATTTCATTCGGTTTTTTTGCGTCATTTTTTTCTTTCTTTTTTTGTCTTATAGTTATCTTTGTATTAACAATAGAACAATTTAGATTTAATATCTTATAATAATAATAAAATAAAAATAAAATAGATAAATTTAAATTGTTAAAATTTGACTGGCACAATTGACAATTGCAAACCACGTGAAAACTAAAACTAAATGATAATTTTATAAAATATTAAATCTCTACAATTTTTTTTTAATTGATGGTGGAGATAGGATGAAAAGAAGAAAATGAGAAAAAGGGACGAGGAGGAGATTCAAATTCTTCTAATAAATTTGGAAAGGCTAATTAAAGACATGTGCATAACTAAATTGTAAAAAACTTTTCAGAACTTGTGTATTGCATTGCACAAACGATTTTATAGATTTTATATCATATATTAAGACACAGAGTTAGCTTCATCTTAAAGCTCAGTGAGCAGATATGCACGCTGAGATTTAGGGAAAAAAAAAGTACGCAAGTAATTAGGTTGATTTTAAAAATTAGGACTTGTTTGGTTTCTTGTTTTGAAAATAGTTTTTTGTTTTAAACAACAAAAGAAAAAACTTTCTTAGCAATTTGTTTTTAGTCAAATGGTCTTAGAAACAAAAGAACAGAATTTTTTTAAAAAATTAAAAAACCAAAACAATTTTTTGCTGTTTTTTTTGTTTTTTCATTTCTTATCTTTTTGATGAAAAAATTGGGAACTTTTTCTTCTCTAGTCAATAGCCATTTCTCCATTTGAGGATTTAAGTTATCATCGAGGCTCCACTCTCTGATCTCATTTATTTTCAAATGTAACTTTTTAGAACAATTATTTAAACAGATTGTTTTTTTTTTCAAAACTTGTTTTAAAAACAATTATCCAAACAAATTTAGATATTGCGTTCATTCATTTCTGATTTTGCACCTTCTAATATCTTGTCTCTACTCCTTTCGGGAGAGAATCAGCAAAGTTTGAGATTTGACTTAGATATAGCTTCAATCTCAAAAGAAGGGAAAAGTTCGACTCGTCGGCGTCGGAGAGCACAAAGAGAAGTAAGTTTGACTCGTTAGCCTTAATCTCAACATGGCTGAGACACTATAGGGTTTAGGGTAAAATTTTATTTTCAATTTTAATACTTCTAAAGTTACTTTTTCACTTGTACCCTAACACAATTTTTCATTCTAAACACATTGAAAGCATCAAAATCATCAAAATCCAACTCTAAAATAAATCCTAGGTATGGCCAAAAATTACATAAAATCAAGTGAAGTTGGATTTATTTAATTTTCATCACAAAACCACTTAATTACTTCCCTGTTCTTCCTCTTCATCGTTAATCTAACTTCAATCAATTCTTTTCATAACTTAATCACAATTGGACAGAACCTTCCCTTAGGGTTTTATGCTTCTAAAATTCATCAAAAACCATAACCAAGCTTAACAACACAAAGGGCAACATAAACTACATCAAAGTCCATAACCTTACCTTGTATGGAACTTAACTTGGCTTGAGACTACTTGCTCTTTCTCTCATCAAAATTTTGTACTCCCTGATTTAACCGTTCGCTTAATGCCTTAGGGTTAAATGTAAAATTAATCCATGGATTATATTATAGGGTGCAATCTTGGGTCGTTTTCTTGTTGGAGCCTTAGTTATTGATCCTAAGTTAACTAAATGTCATAAGAATGCAAATTGACTAAGGAAAAGTTGGGGGTTTCATAAAAAAACTATTCATTAAAATGAAATGCAATGTAAATACATTTTTGGATTTTTGGGAAATTAAGATGGAATGGATAGAAACAAGTTGAAAACAATTGATAAAACCTCTTGAAAATGGATCTTGACAATCATAGTTCAAAATGATTTTGGAAGTAAAAATTACTAAGTTTTCTAGATGAAAAACTTTAAAGTATCCTTTAAGTTTAAGATGTTAATGAATGACCATCCAATCATAAAACCCTATGAAGCTCACTTAGTGTGTGTATTAGGATTAATTAATGCATTTGGTTCAATGCAAATCCAAACTAACTCAATAGTCAAACAATATCATGCAAGAAAGAGAGTATCAAAAGAATTGCACAGAAACATATATGTAATCACATGTATTAAAGCTCACATTCAACATTAACTAAACCAATACATAAGATAATCATCCAAAATTGATTACAATCATAACCAACATAGCTTAGCCACAATTTTACAAACCCTAGATCTAGGAATTCATAAAGGAGCAACAAGAACTATAGATGAAACCAACTCCCTTTTGAAGCTCTTGGAACTTATGCCAATCAACCCATTTTCAAGAGAACAAATGCCTAGCCACGTATTAGAGCAAGAAGCACCACAACTAGTAATGATTTCGAGCTATGCATGGGAGAAGATGAAGGAAAAAATAGAAGAAGATGAAGATTTGGCGAGGAAGAATAAGAGAGGATGAATAGAGGAGGTTCTAGATGGGTGAATAGAGTGTTATTTCAAAAATAGGGTTTCTAAGGGTTTAGGAGGTTAATCTGGGTTGGATTAGGTGAGTGGGTGCTGCTCTATTTTTTGTATTCCGGATCCAAATATGGCCTTACTGATACAAGGGGTTTCACTGCAGTGAACCCATAGCCAAGCCATGGCGAATAATTCCAGAATAAATACTCTTAGTTCTCATGTTGTGGAATCCCTTAGTCTTCAATCTTGGCTCTAATTCTCAAGTGTCTACAATAAAAGCAAAAATTTAAAGCATTAATTGTCCTAAAAATCAGTTGAACACAATTAATAACCAATTATGACATTTTATCCTCAAAGAGACACTAACTCAAAGCAAAGACTCTTAGTCTAAATTAAGTACAATTACCACTAAAAGAGCTACTAACCCATGATAAAAGCCTTTAAAATCATATGAAAGGACATAGAAGAATTGGGTTCAATCAATTCCCCAATACTTAAATCTTTGTGCTCCTAGACAAAGGTAATAAAAAACCAAAGCAAGAGAAACATTGATACAAATGGGAACCCTATGAATTCAAAGTA